ATAATATATATATATATATATATATTCCCCTAGTTGTGTGCCGTGAATACTATTTAAGAAGATTATCTATAGAGAGCGGCAGTAAATGGCCAAGAGAGGAATGCGTCTCTACGTACCTTCATATGTCCGATTTACTCCAAAGATTGAGTCTATTGGAGCAACAATACGTGGCTACTAATAAGAAATTGGACAACCATAGAGATGAGTTGAAGGGATTCTGCTGGTGTGTCTGTCACCTCCTTCGATCCCATGTGGGCGACGGCCCACAGCTCTATTGTCCTGACAAGACCCATGTCCTCAGCTCTCCCCTTACTTTTGTGGCGGCATCAATAGGCATCCTATGCATGCAGTTTCTTCATGTTGCAGCATATTACTATGGAGGGGTGGCTGGCTAAGCAGTAATGAGTAGTTCGTACATATATTATGCAGAAGAAGAGATCATACAGATTCGCCTACAAGACATAAAAGAAGAATGTAAAGAAAACCTTCGTCTGTTGTGACGAGACAAAAGTCACTCAATATAGCATATGCAACACTCACCCACCTAGCAACACGAAATGCTAGCTAGCTAGTTAGTTAGTTAGTTAGTTAGCTAGCTAGCTAGCTGGCTAGCAACCAAGTTAGCTGACTAGCTTGCCAGCCACATAACTATCAAATCAATTACCCACCCAGACCGCCTTCTGGCTAGCTAGACAGCACGTTAGCTGGCTAGCTTGCCAACCACACCGCTATCCAACCAGCTAGCTATCCAGCTAGCTAGCTAGGTCCCTATCCAGCTATGCAGTCAGACAGCTACCCAGCTGGCTAGCGAGCTAGGCGACAACGCAACTCAAAACGGTAGCCACGGAGGCTAGCTAGCCATGTAACCTGTCTACCTAGGCACTTAGCAGATGGCTTGATACGAGAGAGGATGGCTAGCCAGGGGTCAGCTGACTAAGCTAGCCACAAAAGAGAAGAGCATACCATATAATGTACATACGTATATATATACAGTATATACAATGTGTATATACGTATATGCATATGTATATATAAGCCCCTCTAGCCTAGGCACAGCAGCGCAAGACATCGAGGACGTCCGCCCAGACCTCCGAGTCCTTCAAACCTGCATGCAACACACAAACTGCTATAACACCGTCATATTGTTTTTCTTCTTTTCCTTCTTTTTCCTTTTCTTTTTCCTTTTCTTCTTTGTTTAATAGATCCATGCCTTAGTCCTTTGCCTTTATACACGCAGGGTTTAGGGTTTGATGTTTACTGTTACAGGGTTTAGGGTTTAGGGTTTATTGCTGCTGTAGGGTTTAGGGTTTAGGGTTTAGGGTTTAGGGTTTAAACTTGCCACTATCAATCATTTGTTTAAGGGAAGGGTTTGCTGCTGCTGCTCTAACCCTTTCTTTATCCCCTAATTGCTTATTAATGGACATATAAGAGGCATGGGACCCTTGTATAATAGATACTTTTACTGCCCCTGTTGCTGTTGATGCTGCTGCTGCTGCTGCTCGCTGCGCCTTCACAAGCAGCAACAAACCAATTAATGTTGCCTGCACACCCAACAACAACAGCAGCAGCAGCAGCAAAATCAGCAGCAGCAGGCGTAGCAGCAAAACAGCGGAGTATACATGAACTGCATAAGCCAAAGCCCTGAAGAACAGGGCAGGAAAGACGTGGAAAAGGAGCTCCAAATGCAGAAACAGCAGCAGCAACAACAGCAGCAGCAGCAACTACAGCAGCAACAACAGCAGCAGCAACAACAGCAGCAGCAGCAATAATGAGGGAAGTCTCTTGCCTGAGAGCAATGAGGTATTGTTGGTTGGAAGGTGATATCTACACGCAAATTCTCCTTCCTTCTCCAGTGCTGCTGCTGCTGCTGCTGCAGCTGCAGCTGCTGTTGCTGTAGCTCGTGCAATTGGCAGTTATAACACATGCCTTCGTCCACGCTTTCCTCGCCGCTGCTGCTGCTGCTGCTGTTGCTGTTGTTGTTGCAGCAGCAACGCACTTTGACGTTGTGGGGAAGAACCACCGCCAGCTCTTCTAGGGTGTACGGATGCTCAGGGTCAGCTATACACCTCACTGCTGCGTACACCTCCTGCAGCACACAGCAACAACAGCAACAACAACAGCAACAGTAGCAGCAAAATCAGGTGCTGCACCACCAGCAGCACCTGCTGCTGTATATTTAATTGCAGCAGCACATAGCAGTAGTATCCACATCATCGACAGCTGCTTGTGCTACAACTACAGAACAACTACCAGCTGCTGCTGCTACTGCTGCTACTGCTGCTGCTTCAGCTGTACGGGCTATCTTGCTGCTGCTGCGGCTGCTGCTGCTGCTGCAGCTTACACTGTGAACAGTGACAAATCGATCCTTACCCGTGAAGTCAAACTCTCCATCCTACTAAATAATCGAGCTCGTCTTCTGTCAACGGACACCTGCGTATTGCTGCTGCCCCAGCAGCTGCTGCTGCTGCTGTTGCTGTTGCTGTTGCTGCTGCTGTTCCAGTTGCTGTTGCTGCTGCTGTTCCAGTTGCTGGTGCTGAAATTGTTACTGCTAGAGGGGCTGAAGGTCTCGTTGAACCCTACCTCTGCTGCACGCAATTTTGTAATACAACCAGGCTCTGCTGCTTCTGGTGCTGCATTGGATGCTAATTTTGCTGCATCTCCTGCTGTATACTGAGGTCGATGCTGCGGGAAGTCCTCATAGGTATACGCAGCAAGGAGAGAGTTGCGGTTCATAAGCACACTGTCTTTAAGCAGCTGCGTGCGTTCCTCTTGCAGCAGCTCTTGTACTTGCTGCTGCTGCCAGTATAGGTCCCGGTTACCCCGCCAACGTTGACTGGAAAACAAATCAGGAACCTGCTGCTGCTGCTGCTGCTGCTGTGCATGCAGCATCTGTATGGAGGCGTTCCATTGCGATTTAGAAGCGCGCAAAGGGGCAAAGAAATCTGCTGTATACAAACTGCCTCTAGTGGCATCATACGATCGCCGCACAACAGGGGCAGGGTTATTACCTTCTGTTGCCATTTCCCCTCATTTATTCCCTAGTTTTCATGTTTAAATATCTTCTTCCTTCACATATGGAAGATATAAATGGCGTATTTGACTTGAAGTGAGAGCAGAAGTCGATGCATGCAAGTCGCACAAGGGAAGCAAGCATGCACGCCAACGAGCTCCTGGTTGGCGCGACCTGAAGAAATAAATAATTATTTGTTTGTCGTTACTATTCAAATCGTTTCGGTCAGTTACAGACAATAAAAGAGGAATATTAACCTTCATTCTTTGAACTGCATTTTTACCCGCCTGCATGTGACCACAGGCTTGACCAGAGACAGTCAGTTCTGCCGCATGTGTGTTGCCCCCTCTATTAGCGACACCATATTAATATCCTCTTTTGAAGATCTATCTGCAATTTATTTATCTGTTAATCAAAAAGCTATCATTAAATAAGCACTAGACAGGAGAGGCGGAAGGCAGAGGGAAGGCAGTTGCGCCGCCCACATGCAGTTACCCTGTTGTAGGTGTATTCACTTCCTTTTTAAACGCGTGCCATAGACTAGACAAGGAGTCTTTAAGAAGCAAAACAATGGGAGGAGGAGGGCGGTACAGCCACCAAGTAGCAATAAATCAAAATTTCTCAATAGATGTCATAATGTACACCACAAAGGTGAGGTGAACAACGAGGCATATGGAGGCATTTGTGAATCGTAACACAAACGATAGGAATAGAGGCGCTGCACATGGGAGGCCCACTTTCCTCTTGCCAATAGTTTGAAGAGTTGAAGAATTCAGATTCTGCTAACGGCTCCGTGCAGCTCGCTGCCGCCTCCATCATATCACACGAAAATAGACAACACCTACACAATAGAGATATAAAGTTAGGGATATTAGGGTTTAGGCCGTATGGTGTTTAATGCGGAATTTGGACCATTGTCATTCGACAAAAACCCACTTCGTCCTCAAAAATGAGCAAATTCTACGAATGGAAGCGAAAGTGAAACAAGACAAATCTCCCGTATTCTTGGTGTGGCTACAAGTATACGGTGGTATTTGTGAAATTGGAATTATCTATCTGTCTACCTGGTTGCAGGCTGACGATAGTGATCCAAGTAAGTGGTTCACAGTTCTCTACAGTGTTATCAGCTGCATGGGCTCAGCTTGCATGAGGGTTTGCCTTGTGGCATGTGCTTTGCAGCACAGCGAAGGGAAACTCAATACTGAATATGCTTCCTTGACGCATCCTCAGCCACAGCTAATGACCACCCGCAATCCAAAGACTGCACTATATTCTGCAATATACTATTATTCGTGCTCTATTGATCTTGCTGTAGATCCCACTTCTTTCGGCTAGAAGCGAGTCACAAGTGTTGTTGTGGCCTTTGGAAAACCTTCTCTGGTACTTACAACAATTTTATCTGGAATAAACACATCTCAAGCATCTAACGCTACTAAAGCCGTCTTAGATAAACTTCAGAAAGGCTTTTTCTGCTTATTCGCCTAATATGGCATTAAATTTGCACCGGAGTGGCTCCTATGCCTTTGTAGAGTTGTCCGCAGGGGCATCCACAAACGTTATATTTCAGCATAGTTTGTTTCATCCGCCAATTCTCAATGGCTTTATGCAACCGATAATTCAAAGCGACAAACTGAATAATCTCTCCCACTACGTTTCCCATTAACTCTCCCAATGCACTCTCGATGGATGACGCTGCTGTTGCGACTGCTCTTCCTACTGGTGTTGAGAGCACATGTGCGCAGCGTTCCCATCTTTTTCCGAGAGCCTTTAGCAGTAAATATTTCGGTGGCACCTGAGCAACTAACATGTTCTGCCGTCGCTGCAGTTCTGGTGGAGTTAGGGTGACTGCAGTTGGTCTCCACCTCGGAGGGTTTTGATAGTGTTAATGTTCCCTTCTCGCCGGTATTTTTTGTGTTTTGGGGATCCTTACTAAACGTTAGAGGTACACAATATGAAAAGTTTATATCCGGCAGAATTTCAGTCACCTGTATGTCGTGCAGCTGCACTGGCAGCGCGTGCGGCTTTGGTTGCTGCTGCCGGTGCTGTTGCAGCAGACGTTGGTGCTGCTCCTGCTGCTGAATGTGTTGCTGCGGTAGTTGCTGAAGCTGTTTCTTTCCTCTCCGGCGCTTCTCTAGTCGTTGATGGCTTTGAGCGCTGTCCTGGACCACCAACCCTGAGGTGGAGGTGTAGTGCGATGGGTGCGGGGAAGGGGCTTGTCGATACCCCTCCAGCTGTGAGCTTTCAACTTCCTGAAGCTCGCACGAGTCGCAGCTTTGCGTGTCAGAGGAGGACGTAGATACCGAGAAGAAGCCCTTGCATGCAATCCAGTCTCTTCTGTTATCCGCTATGGGATTGCACCAGACGAGTTGCTGGTGCGGCCAAAAGAGCGGGTGCCTCTGTTCAGCTTCCATATTCGTGCCAGCGGCTGTAGGCAGAAAGCAGGCTCCTTGTGCATGCGTGTTTGGAGGCCGTTGCTCCTTGCTCTCTTGCGGCAAAACGATCATGTCTCTGTCTAGGTAGTCTCCTGTAAACTCAAAAGACCAGTCGACCTCCTTTGGGGTAGGAACATCACTCCATTCGTCCTGTGGTTGTTCTTGAGGGTGGTAGTTGCCGGAACCAAACGTGGAGGGCAGTGGCTGGCATTCCGGCGCTACGTAGGCAGGCTTGTTTGTAACCCGCTTGAACATGGAATTTGTTTGCCATTCTGATCTGCATGCACCACTGTGCGGTGGTGGCGGGTTCTTAGTGAAATTTGCTGACGGCCGCATATGGCTGATAGATACATTTGCTTCCCCACGCATGGGAGAGTACTGGCAGTTTTCTCTATTGGCCAATTGCCACTGCGACGGAAGGGGAGAAGCACCAGACCAGCCGCATTCCTTCTCTTTGTTTTGATTGCAAGACTGCACCTTATTCGGTTGTGGAGTTGGGAGAATGGTCATCGGCCGAAACGGGAATGGGTTGTACTGCCACGGCGGCTGAGCGTGCCAGCTTGTGCTGTCTGGCGGGGGTGGCGGTCGTATTACCCTCCTCTGATCATATGTAGGTATTCTTGTGTATTGTTTTGGTTGTTGCAACGAGGTTTGGATGGGGGTCGCAGCTCCTCCCTCGCTTGGAGTTGGGTTGAGCAACTGATACTCAGCATGCATAGTCTTGAGATTTTGGTGGCACAGACTCTTCGTGCATTGAGCGTTGTTCGCGACACAGGCACCCGTTGGAGTTAGTTGGTTCTGCTGATCCTCAACAGTGTCCCCGTCATGCACTAAGCGGACGGTGCGATGCAGCAATATCTCCCTAAAGCGCGTCTGAGGAGAGTGAGCTTCTGGGGAAGACGGTGGCAGCACCGGTAGCTGCTCGCTAGTCTGCACTTCTTTTCCAGCAGTTGAGCTGCAGTTCGCTCCGTGGGTGTAGTTTTCATGAGGCTCTTGGATGAATCCATGAATGCCCCTACAAAAGTTTGCTGCCTTTCTCAGATAATACTCGGCAGGCAGCTTCTCCATCTCCATCAGCCGTCGCATGTGACACAGATGCTGCGGTGGCAAGTCGTGCAGAGTTGCTGGCAGAGGTAGCCTTCCATCTGACTTTTCTGCAACTGCAACCATAAGGAGGAATTCGACAGCTTTTACGTGGTGGTGCATGTGGCCACTTATGATCCTTGTCTCATTCTCAACAAGCCGAAACGCATTGAGCAGCTTAACCAAGTAAGCTGTATATTCATCTCTTTCTGAGCGAAAGCGTGGGACGCTTTCCCTGCAAACGGATTCACCTCTGTCGTTTTCTTTTTGATCATCCCCTTTTTCTGGCTCGCCGACGCGTGGACGCTTTTTGTTGTCGGCAGAAGCGTCCGTTCTGAAATGTGAATCTCTATCGCTATCTGAATTGCTGTTGATGTAAGGGATTATTGATCCAAATATATCAGTGCTTTCCATAAAATCATCAAGGCGTCGTCTTCTCTCCAGAACATCCAAAACGAAATGCATTGCTTGGACTAACTCGCCCGCATTTGTCCCGTTCAGAGGGTACTGGAACACTGAATACAATTCAGCGCTTTCCAATCTTTCAGCCGTGGTGTTTGTTGGGCTTCGGCGGGTTGACAAGAAGTCCAAAGGATCCTCCTCCAAAGGCTGCATAAGCTGCAGTGGCGACCAAGTCTGAAACGGCTGCAGGTGCTGCTGCGACTGGGTTTGCTCGGGTACTTGTTCTGAAGCAGCAGGTGATTCGCTTCGTTGGTCTTCTGGCTGTTGCTTTAGCCCCCATCTAAAGGAGCAAGTTTTTGTCTTGGGTTTCTGTTGTTTGGGTGCTGCATTTTCCCCGTCAGACGCTTCTGTTGGCAGACTATCTCCTGCGTCAGTGAAATCGGAAACACCTCTTACACTTATTTTGGTCATATGCTTCTCTGCTGAGTTGTGCAACGGTGCCTTGACTGTTTTCGTTCTGCGTAGTGGCGCCTGCGGAAGAGTTGACGGAGAGGGCCAAAGGAAATCCCACTGCTCGCTTGAAGGGACGTCAGCTGGAACTGTTGGAGGCGGTTTTGACCGCTGCTTTGGCTGCGGCTTTGGTTGCTGCTTATTCTTGGATTTCGGGGTGGAGGCGCACTTGGGCTGGAGCGGTACCCGTCTTTTCCCTGCCGTTGTGGATGTCTTTGGTTGTGGTTTTACTGGTGCTTTTTCCTTTGCCTTTGTTTGTGTCTTGCCCCGTCTCACGACAATTGTCCAGTTGGTTTGTCTTTTCTTTTCGTCCATTTTGACGGAGAGCTTCACAGTCCTGAATCTTTGTGGACGCCCGGCGTGGTTATCCACATTCGTCTACGTCAGAAGCCAACCTTCGGAGGTTTTTCCAGTCACCATAAGGATGACCCAAAAAGATATGTCTACAGGATGACTGAATTAAGATGACAACCCGACGACTATCTCGATGAGATGGCAAGTCACATGCTACGGCTCCACGAAATTCAGCGAATAGAATCACCCTGACGACAGCCAAGTTCAAGTCAATCAAAATCACGGAAATACAGAGAGTATTTGCGAGGAAACTTCTCTAAAGTCGTCCAGTTGAGTTTCAACGAGAAGGTCGAGACGGAACCGAGATGTTTAGAGGATGCTCAATGAACAATGCAGAAACACAAGGTTTCTCCGTTTTAAAAAGGATCCCAAATGCGATAAAAAGGATTTCCTACTTGATTCCGAGGTATGCATGCCGAGATGCCCCCGTAATTCGATAGATTTGAAAGTGCAACTTTGCCCGATCGCGTCCTTGAACCCGAATAGCAGCCTGTACACTCGGCGAGACAGCGGCGAGACTACCGAGAAAGATTCGTTCTAATTTTTCAGTTTCAATGCATACTTTGGGCCCGTTAGTGTACCGTTTTGTTTAGTACAAGCCGAAGAACTGCCAAGCTTGAGGGCTGTCGTTGTATTAGTCAAACAAAACGCTATGAGCATCGCGGACAGACAGGTTCGGTCAAGACCCTGCGGCAAGGGGTCTCGTGGCACTTCCTCGCAAACTCCTCTGAAAAGGTCTAGTGAAGCCATTGATATTTGTTGAACCCCTCATTCGGGAAATACTGCTTAAAATCGCAGAGGGGCCTTGCGCTCGTTTCACAAAGTGCAAAACCGAGGTGACCACCGGCGTTTTCTCAGGGGGTTGGTGAATCGGCATTGACAAACCCAAAACTGAAAACCATATGTTTAATAAGCTCACGCGCAACACGTTGCTTAAGTATTTCATTTATCCATCTCCATAGAATGAAGGAAACCCGCGGTCTGCCGCATCCTACGTGGGCATGAGCGATGAAGGAACATCCGCGTGCACGACGTAGCATGTTCCAAGAAACTGCAGGTATATCAATCTGCATCCTGTACCATTTAGGCAATGCGGACACCTTCGTTTCTATTGGCACCCTCTAATACCTACCAATTACCAGCCCGATGCGCTGAAGTGTAACATGCAGGGAATTTCATCAACAACTTTCTCTGACTTCACATTCTTTTCTGCTAGCCACACACCTATGATACCAAACCAAGTTCAAGTGAATTTTGAAGCAGCTCTAGTTTTTGGAAGTCACCGAAAGCCACCCTGCCACAACGCCAAGTGGATAGCGTGCTCAATGCATACTCAAAACAGTGCAATGTAGCCACAGGTCCTCTTTAGTGTCCGTTAATGCAATTGAACGGAGTTTAATAAATTGCCGTTGTCATTGTACGCTTCGGTCGATTTAATTTCTTTATTTGCGGCATTCACTGCTCTTCAAATTGATCACTGAGTCAAAACGAACCTGTGCGGCAGCTTGCAACCCCTTCGTCCCCGACATCACACTTCTTCTTAACCAAGGAAATATAAAAAGCGGGACGAATTTTTTGAAATGCATCCCTCTTGCGCACAGCCTACATTTTTCGGTTACGCGGGTCGGTGAACTGTGCAGCAATTTGAAAGTTAAGCATTGCCACAACTTGCCAGCTTGCCTACATAAATAGGTATACATACACATATATATTACACATGCATTCGGTCCAATTGTTCTAGGGGAAAATAATTGCTATAGTCGTTTACGCGAACATCGAAAGTATTTGTCAACGACCTGTCTACACCCGCCGCAAAGCCAATTCATAGACCCGAGATTCTGCATATGAACAGCTAATGTAGTGATCAGCTGTGCTTTCCTGTCACTACGTGCGTCTCTCCAGAATGCCTGACTTGGTGTGCACTGCTCTACCGTATTCGAATTCCCATTCCCTACAAGCGGACTCTCCGTCAGCAAACGATAACAATTCCTAAAACATATTCTGAGTCCATGTTATTGAGGGCAAAACCCAAAACATCTGAACTGGCCGCTGACCCTCGCAGGGGTCAGTGCCCGAGTCACAGCGCCAGTCTCGCACCCAGTCCCACGACCGGTGTAGGCTAGCGAGCACTCCGACTCTATTAGGTTTCCTTTTTCTCTAGAAGTGCCGTAATCCCTTAAATATTTTATCTTATTTTAAGCTCTTTCGAGCTATCGGACCCCGAGGGCGTACCTCGAAGGTCCATTGTAGTGCCTGTGCACTACAGCTAACCCCGCAACCTTCTTCCGGGCAACTTGCAGAGTTCTATCTACACAACGTTGCTGCTTCCAAAGCCCCCGAGAAGCTCTGTAGGCACCTTTCTCATGCAACAGCCCAATCAGCAACGCAGCAGTAGTACCCCAGCAAAGGCAGGCAAACAGGCATATGCTCTCAGAAAGTGCAACATTCCCAAGTACTACCCAATTAACCAGTAACTGCAGCAGCTATGTCAGTGTCAGCAGATTCAGTGCAAAATGAGAAACTGTCTTGCATGAGCAACAGAAACAAACCATGTATCCTATAAGGTTGGAGCACGTAGGCATCGTTTTCTTGGATAAAATGTATTGATGCGCTCAAGTTCATCAGCGAACTGCAGTGTATGTGCCTCGACCCAGCACACCCATACACGAGTTCATTACGATCAACTGATAGCTGCAGCGTGCCGAAAAACAATGTAAAAGCTGGGCAAAATACACCCAATTAGGACTTAACTGAAAATAAAATCACGG